GGGGGGGGGGTCCCCCAGCTCAAATATTTTTAAAAAGTTTGGGTATGGGTACGCAGATGGTTATAAAACATCATAACAATTGACATTGGAATATAATACAACATAATACTGTAGAATACTTTATTTTCACTTGGAACTAATTTTCGCTATTTTCGCTGAAGGAATGATTCAGCGAAAATTAATTCCAGCTAAAATAAACTAGATTGATTATACCAATGTAAACTTGAGGAGACACAAGTCTGGAATACTAATCAGTACTCCTATTAGTACTTACTATTGTTATGCAGATTAGTTGTAACTATTGTTAGTACGTATATCTCGCAAGAGTTATAAATGAAATAGTTGGCTAACATTAAAACAATGACTTTCACAAAATGGCTTTATTTCATGCTGCTGTGTACAAAACATGATAAAAATATACGGCAACTGAAATACTTTTCACATAAATAACATCAAAAAAATTGCTAGGTCATCCTCGCTTCTATAGGAAAATATGGTGGATATACAGCAAATTGATGTACACTTTTTTTGACAACAGATGAACCAAACTATCAATGATCAGAAACTCGACTTATTTATAAAAATATTCATTAATTCGGCAAACCAAAATTTGGTTAATCAAAGTTAGGTTTATACATAAAAAGCACTAAAAAATATTTTACCTCCCATGGATTATAGCAGGTGTGTATTCTATTGTGCATGCACCCCACTTTGCTACATCACGATTCATGGCGGGGTTTAAGTGGACACTACTATGAACAAATGACAACACTGTGGGTATATTTGGATAATTAAGTTTTCCTTAATGCTAACCAATACTGGATTATTAAAAACACATTCCCTACGGATACTTAGATTAGAACATATTTATACTACGAGGAATAGATATACAGTGAAGAAATAAAATAAACATAAATCACCATTATAAGCATTTGTCTACTGACAGATTCATTGATAGATCATGTTTATTCTCAGTTAACACAGATTAATGCTTCAATAAATGACACAAGACACAAGGTTTTGACAAAAGTGGAAGGGGGAGCGAGTTGCAGACACTGGCATCGCAACGAACAAGGGAGATGCCAGCTTGGTCAATGCATGTCAAAATTGAGCATTAACACAGATTATAAATTATATTCATAATCATACTATATATTATATAAGCAGCTATGAGACATTACAAGAACACATAACTTACATATAGCGCAGCACAGAATTATACCGAAAGCAAGTACCCGTACTCGTAATATCCTGATTGCATAAAGGCGACAGCTAACAGTATATAATTAACTCATCATCAACCGAGTTGCTAGTGTTCATTAATAACAGACAACACATGTGACACGACCATTATGTGTCCACCACATGTGACCTTTCTGTTTTATTGTAAAGAACAATACATGTTTTCTACATGTTGTTGACAACATTACATACTAGTATGCTCCTGCACCCTGTGTGAACAGCTTGGCTGAATAAGACCTAAACATTGGGTCATGACCTTTTGAATAATTTACTGAGCATGATGTTTTAACCAATCACCCGCCAGTAAACCCTATGTATGACCCTAACGGTCACTCATCCTGGTACTTTTCATATCACAACCAGTGTACTGTAAAATACTTTATTTTAGCTGTAATTA